AATAATCATTCTTACATATTAAAACTTGTTTATTTCATTCATCTCTTTCATTAAGAATTAGATCAATCGCATAAATCTTAAAGCTCGAACAAAATTATGCGTGAGGATCTGAAGACAAAAAACTCCAAATATATCTTAGTCAGATCAAAGCAATGAGGAACTAAAGTATTCACATGCGAGATATTCATCAAAGTTCATCTAAGATGAAGTGCTGTTACATTTGATCTCAGGAATATACTAAAATATGTACATTCGTATATTTGAATAGCAAAAGCTATTGATGACTTTACTTGTACTTTGCTTTCATAAGATTTTTATTTGCTCTTCTCCGAAATAGAATTGAGGTAAATAAAGAGGAAGAATATTGAAAGGAAAGTTCCACTTTAAGACGTCTCGAATGATCTTTCAATTTATATTTATTGAGATTGGGTTTTTTTCTCTATCAGCATTCCACATTTTTTCTCTTCCATCTCATTTATCACAATGGCATGCTTTTTTTCAAAATGTTTCTTTTCTAAGTACATTCTATTACTTTCACTACGTTTTCAATGTTTCCAATAGGTTAAGCGACGGGACTGTTTCTACTTTCGAAGTAACCTAAGAATTTCAAACAATAAAGCAAAACAACCCAATAGATCATGTCTTCTTTCAAAATTTCTGTTGTCATAAATAATCATTTTCTGCTAGATTTTTCTTGCCTTTTTCGCTTATTCAATGATATTATTTTTGAAGCAGACCTTATTCATTTTACACACTCTCATACTTCTCAATTGTTCTCTTCGAGATCTCATTATTATCGACTCTTATCACCTTTTCCTTCATCTCTCATAAAGGTCTTCTACAGAAAAGGAAAAAGTGCAGAATTTATTCCGACAAATAGTAACTGATCATTTGCTATCCTGCTTGAAACTTCGCAATGAGCAACAAAAGATTCATATTTGTCTTTTCTGCTTATAACATTGTATTCTTGAAACTGATTTGAGTGCATACATAATATTGTTTTTTGAAAAGTATTAAACTGTTTTCTATTGAATTAGATGCCTGAATACCATATATCATAAGCAGAATAGTAGTGACATTAATCCATTGTATGGCACCACAAAGTATCAACTACAATAGCAAGCGATTGGATGTTATTTATTAGAATACATTCTCTAATTACTTCTCACTCGTGCCAAAAATATATGAAAAGAAGAATGGAAGATGATAAAAGTTGGAGACAATCAGATATTGCTCACAATCGACGAGTAATCATTTTCACCAGTACTAGAAAATCATTTTATGGCCTTAATCTGCGACCGTTTTACATTGTTATTTTCATTTTTTTCATAATCATTTCAATATCATTTTGCCATTATCATAACTATCTGGGTTGTTCTAATTAATTCTCCTGTTACAATAGCAATCTCTAAAGATCAGTACTTTTTCTTTTGCATTCTCTCGTGGCCAAGCTCATTTTGATGAATAGAACACGGAAATCAACTTATAGATACCAATTCTAAAAGTGAAGAATTTTTAACCAATGTCATCATTTTATAATGCAATCAAGATAACTCAAACCACATTTTGGCAAACTTTGATTTGAGATTTAGGTGAAAGTTTATCACGATAGACAAAGATAAGCAGCCTCATAAATATCATGAAAAAGCCTCTTTCGATTTAGTGAATTTTGCATATATAGAAGTCTTAAACATTGCTCTTTTCAATGGTACAAGCCGCATGGTTTTACTTTGTACTCTGCAAAAATTATTCAAACAATAGAAAGCTATCTTATATCTCGAAACGAACCTTAGCTATTTGTAATACAACAACTGACAATTGTCAATATTTTCATAAGAACTGATCGAATTGTTACAGCTCTTAATATCACCCTCAAACTGTGATAGGTCCTATCTATCACCATGTAGGTTAAGTTATCACCAGATTCGATTATTTCCAGCCCCGATTCGCCCAACAACTTCTTCTAAATCTCCTATTCTTGTCCCAAGTAGAACTCGACGAGCTCTATCCAACGATATGCTCAGATTTTCCACCACTCAAACCACTCGCGTACAAAATCGAGTTTCCAGTTTTTTCTGTATGAGACCCAGGGACCCTACAAAGTATTTCCAGCCCGGATTGGTTCAGGGACTTTCTCCAAATCTCCCTTTCTTTTTTCAAGTAGAACTCAACGAGCTCTATCCAATGGTATGCTCAGATTTTACCTAACTCGAACTCTAGTTTTCAGGCTTTGCACAGCGCCATCTATGGTCCCGAAAAATCATACTTTGGGCTGTGGCAAAGTTGAGTACACCGTCCGATAGAGCACGTCGAGTTCTACTTGGAACAAGAATGGGAGATTTGGAACAAGCTGCTGGGCGAATCCGAACTGGAAATACTTTGTAGGGTCCCTGGATCTCATACAGAAAAAACTGGAAAATCGATTTTGTAAGCGACTGGTATCAGTTATAAAAAATCTGATTGCACCAATGGATAGAGCTCGCTAAGTTCTACTGGAAATAAGAATAGGAGACTTGGAACAGGTTTCTGAGCAAATCCGGGCTGGAAGTACTTTTCTGGATCTCTAGACTGCATGGGAAAAGAATGAAAAAGTCGATTTTGTACGCGATTGGTTTAAGTTGTGGAACATCTGAGCATGCTGTTGGATAGAGCTCGTTGAGTTCCACTTGAAACAAGAATAGGATAGTTGGAACAAGTTCCTCAGCGAATCCGGGCTGGAAATACTCGAATCTGGTGATAACTTCACCTACGTTCTATCATCAACTATATATTTGAGTAATCATGAACAAAGATATCAGCAAGAGTATCACAGCCACAACATCTTTATTTCTGATGCAAAATCAATGCCGAGTACAAGACTAGCAAAGAATAAACAATAAACGAGAAGAAATGATTAAGAAAAGACCAGTTTCGGTACACCTGAGATAATAGTGAAAAAGGAGAGAAAAACAAAAACTAGTCACATAAACAACAAGTTCTTGAGTAATCGAATATCCAAAGTCAATATATTAATCATGTTCATTGACTTTGAAATTCAAAATTCATCGTAATATGATGGAAGGTTTAAAATCACTAAGTCTGTTGAACGAAAACAGCGTCTGTTTTATTCGCTTAATCACATTTAGGTTGAATGTTTGCCACAGTAAACATTCCAGTGTAAAGATCAAAACTGAAATTCTCTGTACATTTTGCTCAATCAGTCGATTTATCGATATATTCTATGAAAGTTTACAACAATTACATTGCATTCTTTGTCAAATTTGGCCATCTCTATTCCATTCTTGGGTCCATTGTTTAGCTAACACTCAACACTTTCACATTTGAATCGTGACACACATTGGCACCAAGCAAATGAATATTCCAATCATTCAGACAGAAAACTCAATCGACTATATTTTTATTAAGTATAAAAGATAAATTCTTTTCACAGTGAGAAAACTTCAGTGTAAGATGATTTCAGTGTTTCCTCGTTCTTGCTATTGACGGCTAGATATTTAAGAAGATACTCACCAGATTATTCTGAGTACTTTCAACCGAATGGAAATCACGTTAAATTTGAGATCTATCAGTGATCTTTGACTCAATACTTGTATTCTGTTTGAAAATCATCAGGCGCTTTCACCAAGATGTTAACATCGATCAAGTCATCGTCTCTCTTAATAAATGAATCGCACAGCTCAGGGATAATCAATGGTACTATGTCAAATGGGATCTTTCTTGTTTTTACTAAATGAATCTGTATCTATCACTGCCCTTCTATTATTAATCAACTATTTGATTCTATCTTCATATTTATTTCAAAGATCTTTTCTATTCCTTGTGTTCGTGAAAATCGAACTTTACTTCGAAGTTCCATCCTTTGTGAATTCAAGTTAAGGTCAATTTCATGTTTTCTGATTGATTTTTTGTTTTATTAAATATATCGAAAAAGAGAATAAAATAGTTAATTGAACCACACTAAAGAGTAATTAGTTTCGATTTGGTTCTTAGTTTTTCAAGTTTCACATTGTTTTTTTCGTTGATGTCGCGGCTTGTTTCTCAGCGACGACTCTGGTGAGGCTTGTTTGAAATATTTTCTTTGATTTTTGTTACTAACTCTTCAGAGCTGCTTGTGATAAATAATCGTTGTTTCCAATCATCAATACCCATTGATGGTGCTTGTTTTTGCAAATGATGATTTAAACCAGATTTGTCTTGAGTAAAGACAAGAATCGGAACATACTTTAAATTATGCTGATTCAATAAATGTAATAAATTCAAAGGATTCTTATTTTCATCTTTATAATAACCACGACAAATGATTTGCAATTTTGATGATGATTTGATTTTATCCTTGTTTCTCAATAGATGATCTTCCGCTTGTGAGAATTTTTCAAAGAAATCAATTTTAACATGCTTATCACCTGACAACTGTTTCTCCACATTAGAGCTGTCGTTGTTCTTTTTGTCAATCCAAAGAATACGTGGGCTATCGCTACTAGCTGCTGTTGCTGCCCTATCTGGTCCGGATTGAGTAGTTTGTGCCGTGGAGGCATTTGAACCAAAATAATCAAATGTATTATTTAGATTCCAAAAGAACGTATAATCGAAAAAGTTATAGTTGTAGTTTTGTGGGATATAAAATTTGACATCTTTATAATTATTCCAAGTCCATGTATTATTAATTATATTGTTTGGTTGCTGACGTCGACGATGAGAATCATCTGCGACAACTTTGATTGAATGCAAATCTTGACAACGTTGCTGATCAGTCATATACTGATAAGGAATGTAACAATAGCCTTTATCACCCTAAAAGCAAAATCAGCACATTGTTCATACTCAGAAAGAAGTATATTTTCTTAGATTTTCATTCAGTTCTCATCAGTTCGAGTATGCTACTTCTGTTTTCGAATAGAATGATAACTATCATTTCACCTCCATATAACATATCTTGAAGAAATCAGCGGTTACGAATAGTTATTTGTATAGAAGAATTGCCATCAGTCTATAAAATCATTTATAGTCTATAGGCCATCGGCAAACTTGAATTTAATGGCCGATTATGCTAGATAGTGCTACTCAGTCATGAAAGAATATTTGTATGTTTTTCAATGACGATTTTTAGAGTTTCTCAAGTAAATATTCAATAAATTTTGTTAAATTTTTCTGTTCCTGTATTATGCCATTTAGAATGGATCATTCATATGATGCCGATCTTCGTCATATACAGTGCTGTGAAAATTTATAGAATCACCTCTGTGAATCAAATTGTTTGCTCTATCTCTACTGCTTTAGACTTCAGAGAAAAGGTAAGTTTGTGTAAGTACGTGCATTCGAGTATGCTCTATTCAACAACGAAATCCGATTTCATAAAACTACTACTAGATTTGAGAAAAAAAAGTTAGTTGAAATTGGTCAATTTTCTCCTTTGAAAAATTATGGAATCAATAGCATAGTTTTGCTATTCTAGCATCATAAGAATTTCATTCTATTTGAAAGTCACATATACAGATAGAGGAACAACTACAGAGTATTTTCATTAGAAAAAAATTTGAGAAACCATTTACATTTGAGTTTAAAATGAAAGGTTGTTGATCAAGCGAACGTGACTGGGAAATACCTCTGAACTTCAGTATATTGTTAAGGGTATTTAAAATATAAGTGGCATTGATATTTCGACAACGGATTCGAATAGAAGACACTTGCAATAAAATGAGGAGTCCAGGAGTTCAGTACACAATTTCATTCCAGAGATATGGACGGCATCAAAATTGATGATACATGTGTGCAGGAAAAAATCGCAGAAAATGGCTTAAAATCGTCACATATTATATTTGTCATTTTAATTTCGTTCGTATCGCTAGAATGAAATGGCGTAGCCAAATTCTAAACTCCTAATTTTGTTGCAAAAAGTGTCTTCTATTCGAATCCGTTGTCAAAATATCAATGCCACTTATATGTCAAATACCCTTAACAATATACTGAAGTTCAGAGGTTTTCTCCCAGTGATCTTGGCTTGCTCAATAACCTTTCATTTTAAACTCAAATATAAATGGTTTCTCAAATTTTTTGTAATGAAAATACTCTGTAGGAGTTCCTCTATCTGCATATATTACTTTCAAATAGCATTGAAATTCTTGTGATGCAAGAATAGCAAAATTATGCTACTAATTCAATAGATTTTAACAAGCGAAAATTCACCAATTTCAAGAAACTTTTTTTCTCAAATATAGTAGTACTTTTACGGAATCGAATTACACAGTGGGATAGAGCATACTCGAATGCACGTACTCACACAGACTTGGCTGCGCTCGAGAGTTTAAACTAACAGAGAAAGAACAAACAATTTGACTCACACAGATGATTCTATAATTTTTCACAGAACTGTATAAACTTGTTGAAAAGACATTATCGAATCATTCCATGTAACCGCAAAGTTTTGATAATCTGTATTTTTTGGATGAATGTAGACTACACTCTGCAAATAATTGATTTAATACCGAACCCTTTTTGAGTTCCGTAGTGCCTTTGAACCTTAACATGATTCTTCCCGGGGACACATGTGCGAAACCTTTGCTACAAAACATGTCTGAAATCGGTGGGACAAAAAACGATGCGAAATCAAAGATATAAAACCATGGAGGTTTGATACAAAAGCTTACAGGCTTTATGTTTTACTTAAAAGGAATTAGTATCAAACCAAGATGGTTTCTAATTTTGGGTACTGAACCGTTTTTCACGACACGGGTCGCAAAAGCGTTTTGTAGCGAAGGTTTCACACATGTGTCTACAGGCAGAACCATTGCAGATTTTCAGCCACTACAGAATATAAAAAAGGTTTGGTACTAAATCAATTTTTTATAGTTTATAAATGATCGTTTATGGAGCTGAAAACAGCAAACTTAGACAAATTTGTTCGGAGCTACAGCAAATCGTGAGTAATAAAGACTCGGGAAACGACTCAGATAGTTAAAACTGGCTAATTGGAATCAGTGAAAACAATTCAAGTGATGATCTAGTTACGGATAGAAAATCACTTATAAGTATACTGTTAATTCTCTCTGTATTGCTTGCACTTATGTAAAAGACTTAGAAAACCATAAATGTTAAAATAGAATAAAGGAACAATGCTGATCATTTGATTTCTGCCATTTAGAACAACATAAAATCGAAGGATTATTCTGTTGAGCTCAATCCAAAACTGAGAACTAGGAGTTACTATGGAATATAGTAGATTGCTTTTCAGATCAATGATTATAGAAAATAGTGTAAAGCTAATTACAAGCACATACGAGTGGAAGCACAAAGATAAAGGTCCATTCTACTTCTTTAATATTCCTTCCGTTTTAATTTGTAAACGAAGGATAGTTGTTTTCCTTGTATATATGGCTAAACAGAAAGACTTTTGCTTTCTTTTCTTGATCCAGGAAACAAAAGTCATAAAATAAAACATTTCTTTTTTCATTTCATCTTTCATCTTGATGCTTCATGAGGAAATCAAAGATATTTCTCATAAATATTTCGATTCATGCTATAGTCAAAAACAGATGACCTTCAACAAACATTCACAAGAACCTTAGGAATCGATATCGAACTCACCCAGTTTCCACCCCATGAATTTCTAACAATAAAATCTCTTGATGCATCCCTATATCCCACCGCTAGCATCGCATGCCAACCATGTTGATTACTCTGCTGTTCCAGAGCGTAGTTTGGCATTGGTACATATCCTCCATTGTTTCTAGCATTGTGAAACGATGGAAATGTTTGTATTCCAAAAACAAATGGATATCCTTCGGCCAAACAGGCTTTCATTTCATTTAAATTAGTATTTATCGACATGGCATCAACTATACGATACTTTTTTCCTTCTTCATAACAGTGCGGTGGTGGTTTATGATTGATATACGCAGAGTTGAATGGATGCAAAGATTCTTTGCAACAACCGAACTCTTTCAATGCTGCAATTCCACTCCGAACAAAAGTACCGCGATCCGCAATGCCAGACTGATACATTGCATCTTTGCAACGACTATTGTAGTAAATAAACAAACGACTAACATCGACATGTTTTCGATGATTTTTCATTATTAAGAATTCATAGGCACCTAAAAACAGGCATGTGAAGTGTTTTAATGAATAATCAATGTGTAACTTTACCCGCTAGTGCATTCGCAACACTAGAAAAAAAAGAAGCAATCAGATAAGCGTATACAAGTCAAAGTTTGCTATAGAAGGAAATAAAACATCTATTGTGTGTCGATGACATCTTCAAAGAGAATCGATTCTCATAAATGTGATCAGATCCTTACCAAGAACTCAGGGCCTATTTTCTTCTCATTTGCGAACACGTAGAAAATCAAGTTTAAGTATATGTAAAATAAAACTGTTTTTAATTTGTAGTTGATTTAAAGTTGACAATTTTATTAGTTTTGTATAAATCGAGTAAACTTGATAGTTAATTTTCAAAGATTTACTGAGCGAGAATGCATATAGAAAACAAATTGTTTTGAAAAATTTTTATTAAATCTTTTTTTTTATTTCTAGAAAAGTTACTGTAAGTTCTAGAGGATACAAGATTCTTATTGAATGAGAGTTTCTTTTTGGGCTTAGATAAGAAGAACCTCAATCACAGTCAAAATTGATATTGACTAGCTGATATGTGTTTGTTTTCATTATTGATGAAGTAACACTCATAATGTATGAGCAAGGATCATCGATTTGTGATTAACCAAGAAAGATTTTAACTAAAGCCAAAGCGTGAGTCTAAAGAGACTTGATCAAAATTTATAGTGGTAATTAAATATTTTTTTCTAGAGGAATGTATAAGTGGGTGGATAGGGCTGCATTTGTGAAGAGAAGACGCTCACCAAAACCTATATTTAAACCCATCTTTTTTTAACTTAATTTTGATGATGTGTATAAATTCATAAAAAAAAGCGCTGATAACATTCATAATAATAACTATGCCTGGATCAATCTTTGAACTGCAGGTAATGAGAAAAAAAAAGAAAAGCATCAGTTTAGCATATTCTACAAATAACAGGTCATTATATAGAAATACTGAGACTTGATATTTAGTGAACTCTATAAGTTGTAGCTAGTTAA